ACGGCGGTGGCGGAAGAACCAAGCCACGGAGATTAAGACTAGGAGTAAAACAGCAGCACCAATTCCAACACCCACGAAAACCCACTTGCGGGAAGAGCCACCACTCTGGTCGGAGGGGATGGTGGGAAGCGCCGGTGAAGGAGGCGGCGGCGGTGGGGGAAGGATGTTGATATTTTCCTTGGTGGGTTCTTCTGTAAGCGGTACTAAAATCGGTGTAAAGAAAAAGATAAGGTCGTTTTCTGATAGTTTGTTGGCATTGAGGATCCCCGGGACATCAGCACCCGCGCCGGAAAATGCATCGGCTATGTAACTGTATGAATTCCCTTGTCGAATAAGGTAAGTGAGCAGATACCTGAAGCCGGCGGCCGTCTGGTTTGCAGTGGGACAGGCACACCAAAGCGGAACATTGAGTCTCATATTCACCACCAAACCACGAAAATCGTAAGGATTATTAGCTTCCATGGCCTGGCAGCTGGTTAAAGCCTGGTAAGTATCATTCGCAACCATGAAATACGTCTCGCCTTGGGTCTGGATAGTGTACGACGCGTTATGCTGGTACCTCGAATCGGCGCCGGAGCAGGAACAATTGACTGGCACGACGACGAGTGTGTCAACAGGGAGCACACCCACATCGGTAATATTATTGATTCGCGCAATTTCAGATGCATCCGCAGCGAGGAGGTTGGCGATGGTGATGGCGTTGTTGTAAGGAAGAGTTGATCGGAAAGTGAGGTAAGAGCGGCAGGAAGTGGCGGCGCCATTGCAAACATAGCCGAGAGTTGTGGTGTCGTTCTGCTGGCAGTTAAGCTGTCTCTTGTTGACATAGCTCTGTTGGCCCTGCAATTCAGGGAACTGAACGAGAAGAAGAAGCAACAAGAGTACAAATGAACACCAATGGGCCGCCATTTTTTAAGAATAAGCACTGCAATTTTTCAAGTATATAAACACACAATCAGTCAGAAAAGATTGGGTTTTTTGATGTGATGGGACAAAGAATTATTCAAATAGTTGACCAAATCAAATGGTAAACTACATAGAAACCCTGTTTGAATGGTGATAGGTGATTGGTCTGGAAATTGTGAAAGGACAGTAACAACATTGTCAAGATTTGTTGCGGTCAAATTTTCAAACAGGTTATCTTCATTGACTCGCATCTTTAAGGGCCTGTTTGGGAGTTTTTCTTTCACCGATTTTGTGTCGCACCGTTTATGAGATTTTGAAAAAAATGGATGCATGCTAGTTCTTTTATGCACTAATTTTGAACGATTTAAAATCACTCAAAATCGATGTAGTGTAATTTTTTATTGTTTCTCCAATCCTACAAAATTTGTGGGTTTTGACTGTTTCTTTGATTCTCTTCTAATTTAAATCTTTATAAAATAATTATTTCTTACCAAAATATATTTTTCAAAATTAACTTATAAATAAAATTCATTAACTAAAAAGTATACTTATAGGCAAAAAAAAAAAAAAAAACTTTATAATTAATAATTTACCTAATTTACCTATAAGTAAAAAATTACTTGTTAGATAAAATTCATTTTTGTATAAAAATTTGTTTATAAAAATAAGACAAAATTCACTTATAAAATATATAAAAATTACTTATAAGTAAAAAATTCAATGTTAAATATTAACTTCTATGTAAAAAAATAAGAAAAAATCACTTATGAGTTAAAAAATCTCACAAAAGAAATTAAAAATTAAAAATTTCACTAAAGAGTATATATGTAATTTTACTCTAATAAAAAACTTTTAAAATCGGTGGATGGTAAACTTTTAAGCATAGGTTGGATTATTTTAAAAAGCGCTGTTAAAAATCACTCAAAGTCATTCGTTCATAAACGCTTAAAATCGATACTTTAAAAAAATGTTCATAACTGGTACCCAAAACTTCCAAGGCCCTAAGTAAGTCCGACTCCAAGCTCGAAACGTCATAGGATTAATTTAATGAATGGCTACTAAAGTTATTACTTCAGTCACTTAGCTTTAATTTATTTCCCAAAAAAAAAAAAAAATCACTACAGATGATCACTGCTCTGTCATTGTTACATTTTTCTTTAAATAAAATTTGCATTTCAATTTTATAATATTGTGATAATAACCCGCTACAAATAGACTAGATGAATATTATTACTCTTAGACCACTGATTCAGTTTGACATTCATTTTTTAATTGATTTTTTTTTTTTTTTTTAAATTTATAAAAAAAAAAAAATAGGACACTTTAAAAATAAAACATTAGATTAGAAC